CCCCAGGAGTACGGGGCAAAGGCGCACAGCCTTCCCTCTGCTTGCAAACCTTGTCAGGGCTTCAGGGGAAAGCAGAGGCTGCCGGCAGAGCCGCGTGGCTCCTCCCCCCCACCCCCAAAGAGCAGCCCAGGAGCACACAGCCTTCCCTTCTGCTTGCAAACCTTGTCGGGGCTTCAGGGGAAAGCAAAGGCTGCAGGCAGAGCAGTGTGACTCCCCACTCCACCCCCAAAAAGCACCCCAGGAGTACGGGGCAAAGGCGCACAGCCTTCCCTCTGCTTGCAAACCTTGTCAGGGCTTCAGGGGAAAGCAGAGGCTGCCGGCAGAGCCGCGTGGCTCCTCCCCCCACCCCCAAAGAGCAGCCCGGGAGCGCACAGCCTTCCCGCTGCTTGCAAACGTTGCCGGGGCTTCAGGGGAAACCGGAGGCTGCCGGCAGAGCACCGTGGCTCCTCCCCCCCACTCCTAAAGAGCAGCCCAGGAGCGCAGGGCAGCAGCGATTTGGCTCCAGGGACCACGCATTCGCTCCATAAGACGCACAGACTTTTTCCCTTACATTTTAGGAGGGAAAAAGTGCGTCCTATGGAGCGAAAAATACGGTAGTCCTCCTTTTTAATCTCCTCTCCTATCATTCCCAAAAGGAAAGCTTCGGGCTTTTTGACAAAGGTGTATTTAAATATTTTCTTTAATTCATTATAAATGGAATCCCAAAATTTCTTAACTTCTTCACATTTCCACCACATGTGATAGAAGCTTCCCTCTTTAGATTTACATTTCCAACACCTTCTGTCCCCGTTCTTGTACATTTTTTGCAGTTTCACGGGAGTAATGTACCAACGATACATCATCTTTTCCCTAAGGGCGGTACAGGCTGTAAATTTCATTCCTTTAGTCCACAACTTTGTCCATTTTTCAAAATCCAAATTATATCCAATATCTATGGCCCACTTTACCATAACTTCTTTGACCTCTTCATCCTTGGTGTCCCAATCCAACAGTTGAGTATACATTTTAGATAGCAGTTTAGTTTTACTTTCTATTATTTCTACCTGGAATTTAGATTTTTTCTCATTCATTCCAATCTTTCTGTCTTCCTTCCATAGTGCATTAATTTGGTGGTACTGCAACCAACCTGTCAGTCTACTCTTCAACTCTTCATAGGGTCTAATTTTCCATCCTCTTTCCGATCTTTCCAGTAAATCTTCATAGGTCAGTCTCTCACCTTCTATATTTATTTTTTTAACAGTTAATATATCAATAGGCGATAGCCACCAGGGGGTGTTTTTTTCCAGTAGTCTTTTGTTCTTTTCCCACACCTCTAAAAGTGCTCCTCTGATGATGTGGTTTGAGAAGCCTTTATGCACCTTTTCCTTATTCTGCCAAAGATAAGCATGCCATCCAAATCTTAAATCGAAGCCCTCTAGGTCCTCCCAGTAAGTTCTATAGTATATGAGCAATGTTAAATCTTCTGCAAAAATTCAAAGGGGATAAATATTTATTATAATCCGTGTTTGTGAATTAGTCTTTCTGTCCACATTCTGCTCCTTTAATTGGGTTTGGCCTGCCTTTTTATTTATTTAGAAAATCCAATCCCAATTCTTCAAGTGTCTCTTCATTACTCCTGCTTATGACCAAATTCCCAAGAGAAATTTAGAAAATACCTGGGGAGGCAGACTTACCTTTGTGACACTGGCAACAATCAATCTACTCCCTCCTCTTCTCACACCTATTTGCATAATTACAAGCCCTATTGCCAGCCATGCAATACAGTTAGATCAAATGTTTGCCTAGCAACCGATTGGCCCTCAGTGCAAATTAACCTCACGTAGTTGAGGCCCTTGACTATTTGTGCTGCACTGAGGTGCCCGCCCTTCGCCCCTGACATTCAAAGGGGACAATTAACAGCACTGGGAACATAAAAAGCTCCTTATTCCAGGCTACACAACACCTCCATCTAACCCCAGGGTACGTGGGGAACCTTCTTCCACTTGAGGGCTGCAGACCCTTCTGTAGAGACATGCAAAATAAAGTTTATACACATCTAAATCCAATATTGTGGACTGTCACTTCACTACCTGAAAACTCTACAGTATCTTTTATTTTAGCTGTATGTCTAGGGGAGCTAACCTGTGTCCCTTTGGATGTTGTTAGAATCCAACTTCCACCACCCCTGTAACTATATGAAAAATGGTAAAGGACCCAACAGCTAAGTCCAGTTGCAGACGACTCTGGGGTTGCAACGCTCATCTCGCTTTACAGACCGAGGGAGGGAGCCGGCATTTGTCTGCAGTTTTTCTGAGTCATGTGGCCAGCATGACTAAGCCGCTTCTGGTGAAACCATAGCAGTGCACGGAAACGCCGTTTACCTTCCCACCGGAGCTGTACCTATTTATCTACTTGCACTTTTTGGCTTGCTTTCGAACTGCTAGGTTGGCAGGAGCTGGGACCGAGCAACGGGAGCTCACCCCCTCACGGGGATTCGAACCGCCAACCTTCCGATTGGCCAGCTCAAGAGGCTCAGTGGTTTAGACCACAGCGCCACCTGCGTCCATGTAACTATATTGGGCACCTAATTAATCGCTAGGGTGTCAGGGGAGGGATAGTACCTTTGGTGGGGGACAGTTCATGCTCCTTCTGGGGTAGTTTGCCCACTACCCAGCTCTCCCCAGTGGCTCCTAGAAGCTGTCAGCATGTGACAGCAGCCACACCCTAGGAAACTGCTTCAATTGGCTGGCTAAACAGGCAAGGTTAACTGATGAGTGTCAAGCCCTTGGTGAGTTAGGGACAGCCTCTCCTCTGCATGTGAAGACAGACTCTGGTGGATCACACAGATGAGACCAATAGTTGGTCCAATGGTCAAGAAGGCGGTTTCTGCATGTGCTGTAGAGGGAGGTGAGCGGCAGATGGGGCTTGGAAACCCAGGTAGGTAGCCCATCTAGAAGGAAAGTTGATCCTAAACCTCTGCTGCCTTGTGGGGTATCTTCAGGAAAATAAAAAGCCGAGGACTAAACCCTACACAAATCCAGAGTGGAGTTCCTAAGACGGCTGGATGGCGCCTTGTACGTCTCCTTCCGGCAAATCCTGCAGCCAAGCTGGTGCCAAACATATTGCTCTTCTTTCCTTTGGAGCACATCAGCAAGGTCGAGAGGGAGGTCCTGTCTTCTGGACAGCCCAGGACCTCTATACACACTGACTGCCAAGGCTTTCCCCCTTGCAAGGTCACTGCTGACAACGCAGCAGTTTGACTTCACCCCCAGAGGCACACTCCATTATCTCGAGACAGACAGATGCCAACAGCAATTAACTGCAAGCCACAAAATGCTTGCCTCTCACGGAAGGGGATTTTTTTTTAACTTGAGAGGAATAATAGATTTAGAGCAAAGAAGTAACAGAGCTTCTAAATGCTGCAAGCTACTTATAAATGGACTAAGGAGCTTATTCAGTCATTGTATCTCCACAAGCTCATTAGCTTGTTGCTGTAGTAGTCCGTGCTGTGGTTTAAGGCAGTTAAGGCAGGTTCCCAGTCACTCCCTGCTCAAATATATAAGGAAAGAGTTGTAGGAATCAGGTAGCTGGGATGAAAAAAACCAAAAACAGGATTCTAGAGAGATTTGGGTAATCCTTTAAGAAATCGGATGAAGAGTAAAGTCTTATGAAATCCAAACCAAAGCTGGCATAACCATAGAGAGGCAATTCATGGGCAACTTGTACGCTGCTGCTTAAAAGTCAAACCAGGTGGGTTCCTCATTCACATGAAAACTCTCTTGTATGAAGCAGTACCCATGTGATTCAGCGATATTAAAGTACACCAGGGAAATGTCCTTGGAAGCGTTTTCTTATTACTCAAATCACACAGGGCCCACAAGTTGTTTGTCATACGGACAGAGGCCTTATCTTCCATGAATTTATCTGATTCCCTTTCAAAGCCATCCAGGCTGATGGCAAATTGCAATCGCCACATTCTCTGGTAACAAATTCCATAGTTAAACTACACACTGTGTGAATAAATACTTCCTTCTGTCCATTCTGAATCTCCCAGCATTCAGCTTCACTGGATAAACCCAGGTTGTAGAATTATGAGGGGGAGAAACACAACTTCCTGTCTACTTTCTCCGCCCGCATAACTTTTTAAATCGTTAAACACATTTTTTGTAAACTAAAATGTCCCAAGTGTTGTAACCTTTCCTCCTAGGGGAGTTGTTCCAGCACTATAATTCTGGTTGCTCTTTTATGCACCTTTTCCATCTCTACATCTTTTTCAAGTGGTAGTGATCATAACTTCACAAACTTTCAAGTATGGCTCTACAACAGGTTTTATATAAAAGCATTATAATACTTGCAGATTTATTTTCCATCTCTTTTCTAATAAATGCATGTGCAGGTAGAATAAAGGGCCATATAGAAATGTTTTGATAAAAATAAATAAGTAGGGCTCTCAAACAACTGAACCACCATTTTAATACAGTGGTACTTCGGGTTACAAACACCTCGGGTTACAAACGCTTCGGGTTACAGACTCCGCTAACCCGGAAGTAGTACCTCAGGCTAAGAACTTTGCCCCAGGATGAGAACAGAAATTGCGTGGCGGCACGGCAGCAGCGGGAAGCCCCATTAGCTAAAGTGGTACCTCAGGTTAAGAACGGTTTCAGGTTAAGAACAGACCTCTGGAATGAATTAAGTTTGTAACCAGAGGTACCACTGTATAAAGCACTTTTCTATCCACCAAAACAGCAGGTCACTCCCTTTTTCTTCCGTATTTGCCTTTACAGTGGTACCTTGGATTTCTGTTCTTATCCTGAAGCAAAGTTCTTAACCTGAAGCACTATTTCTAGGTTAGCGGAGTGTGTAACCTGAAGTGTATGTAACCTGAAGCGTATGTAACCCGAGGTACCACTGTACAGCTAAAATAAAAGATACTGTATTGTGTGGAGTTTTCAGGTAGTAAAATGACAGTCCACAATATTGGATTTAGATGTGTATAAACTTTATTTTGCATGTCTCTACAGAAGGGAATGCAGATCTCAAGTGGAAGAAGGTACTTTGTTGCTACTGTGGAGGAGTGGCAACAATTCATGCAACTCAAGGTGAGACCTTGGGTGGTTTGGAAAGTTGTGTGTGTGTGTGTGTGTGTGTGTGTGTGTGTGAGAGAGAGAGAGAGAGAGAGAGAGAGAGAGAGAAGAAGAGTTTACCGTAGCTCACAAGCCACAGAGTGAGAGTCTGATGGGACAGAGTGAGACAATTTGTGTGAGAGACAGAGAAGAGAGTGGGCTGCCCTAGAGGGGGGACGGTGTGCGAATTGCTACTAAGGCTATTTGATTGTTCAGATTTAGTTATTTATAAAAGTATTTGCATACTGCTTTGCATGTGTCCTTGGTTTGCATAAACGGTTTACAACAATAATACCATACAGTAGAAACATAAGGAAGTTGATAGCAAAAAGGTTAAAAACAGACATCAGCAACCATTGAGGAAGGATAGGCCTAGCAAGACAGAAAGGTTTTCAGCAGGTGTTTAAAACTGGCACAGAAGGCACCTGCAGATGGTCGGACGTCCTGTTGTTTTTTATCCAGGCATTTGGTTAAATTGGACATGCCAAGGAACAGCAGAGGGTTGAAAGGATCAGTGTGGGGCATGCTTTGCAACACTTCCCACACTCTCAATTTCTGATGTTGGGATTTGGACAGGGCAACCTGTATGCCAGTCATGTGACATCACAATTAGGTCATCTCGTCCTGTCCCCCCCTCCATCTAATGGGTTAGGGGAAGGTTGGCAAAGTGTAGGGGGCTCCGAGCTGGTTTTTTTCCCCTGGGAGGTGGAGCTGTTATTCTATACAACTCTGGAGACATGGTAAAGAAGAGCCATCAGCCTACCATTTATTTAAGCTTTCTGTAAGAATTGTCTTAACAACATCCTGTTCTCATTGATCAATCGGATGCCTCTGGGAAGCTCACAAGCAGGATGTGATCACAACATCACCCTCTCAACGCTGTTTCCCGATGCAAAGGCGTAATACCTTTGATCCTGTGAGTAGTAGCCACTGAATTTGTTTAATCCCCTTTTAAAGCTTCAAGGTGACATCAGCGGAGTAACATGCAACAGCAAACACCCAGTCCATCAGTCACTCTTCACAGCTTCAGGGGAGAACCTCCGCTGGCTTACATCTGCAAAAATCAGCCAACTTCAGCCATGCAACATCTGCCTGCTTCTTTTTTGATTTTTTTTATTGCATTTCACAAAACTAACATTTTCTTTTTCTTTACAGAAGAACAAAGAACAATTAAGTCCAACCCAGAAAGTTGTTGAAGAGATGCATACATAAAATGGGTAAGTACAAACATAATTCAATTTATACATATATGCTAATCAGGAAATACGTATTTCTTTTTTAGGTGCAGATAAGAAGTCTTGTAAGTTGTCAGTTGGAACATAAGATATAAAGTCCGACCAAATCACATGTGCATGTTCCACAGGTTCTTTGCCTCTGATTACAGCAAATGTTGAAAGTTAACTTTTCCAGCAAGAGACCAAATAATTTTGCACCATAATGCAGGATGTAATTCAAGTTAAGTCTTCCATTTTTGTGCTATAGGTAGTATTGCAACTGCCAGCCATGAAGTTAATAACTGTATTAAAGAAAACTGTTTCAGATTGTTATCCCACACATTTTTTAATGCAAGTTGTGGGGTTGCCTGATTTTCAGACTTTAAAATTTGTGTAATTTCTGTAAATACCTCTTTCTCGTAACCAGGATAGGCCTGGATCTCCTGTATTTATTTTAAGTTGTTCTTTGGATAACAGTTTGTCATTAACATGGAAATCCATGAAAGGATTGTACTACGCAAGGCCGAATCCTGGACTTGAGGGTGAAAACTGTGGCATTAGAGGCAAGTATAACAGAGACTGACAGCGCTGCCACCTTTTCCATACCTGTAGCATATTCAATGTGTATAGGCTATGCATTGTATCTAAAGTTGTTTTGGAGAGCCTAATAAAAGGAAGCACCCATATTTTTGTGTCTGGTATCATTTCACCTTCTACATCAACCCATTTCTTATTGGATCCGACGATAATACAGCTTAGCTAGAGTCATTTGCTTAAGCTTGATTTCTTCCATCAGACCTATGCTATAACAAGTTATCAGCAACTTCTTTAAGATTAGTTCTAAGACCCAGTATTTTATTTTTAATTTTCCTAATTCTAATTTGAATATTGGTAGGGCTTCCTGAGGGTTAGGTAACATATACATCATGTCATCAGCATAAAAGTTTAATAAATGCTATTCAACCTTTCCCCGATGACCCTTGATACATGAGCAATGAAACTGCTAATGGATCCAGAGAAACAGCAAAGAGCAATGTGGACAGGGGACAACCTTGTTTTGCTCACTTGCCAATATGAACAGAGTTCAAATTCACAGCAGCTGTGCTAACAGCATCCTGGTGAGAGTCACAGAGGACTCTGATAGTAGTCATGAACGTTTTGCCCATCTGATAGTGTTCTAAGACTTTAAAAGTACCCCCATTCTAAAAAGTCAAAGGCCTTGTAAATGTCCAGTGACATCACCAAAGGGCTGGGATTCTTCTTAATTACTGTCATATATTATATTGACTAACCTGCATGTGGTGTTGTGTCTGCCTGGGATAAATCTGGTTTGGTCCGAATTGACAATTGTATGGATCACCCTGCTGGAAGCCATGACTGAAAAGTTGGTTGAACAGGGTGATCCATCTGTAAGATTCCACTTCCTTAGGATCTCTACCTGGTTTAGGTAAAACAATTATTTTCAATGGGGACCAAATGTTTGGGAGGGCTCCACCGCTCCAAACAATATTAAACAGCAAAGTTAAATATGGTGCTACTGCAAAGCTATACAAAAAGTGCTACCAAAGCCATTTGGTCCAAAAGCTTCCGAATGTGAATTCCACCAGCATCCATCCACCTACACCTGCCAGCTTCTGCTTGGTCCACTACCAAACATCAGCCACCTTCCGGCTACTCGTCCATATCTGCTTGGTCCATCATTGGACATCAGCCAGCTTCTGCCATGGATATCAGCCACCTTCAGACCACAAACTCGCCACCCACTCTGCAAATCCACTGGCTTTTGCAAGCAAACTTGCCTTCTCATTGCTCCACAGCATCCTCATGCCAGATGATCACCTCCTTCCACCTGCCAATTTGCTTCCTTCACATGGTAGCATCCATGTGGTCTGCATGGGAGAAAAAGGTGAAGCAGTTATTTCAGTGTGGCTCATCAAAGAACTCGGGGGCGGGTCTAACTCTCTCCACTGAATGACAGACAGCATACCCAAGGAAAAGAGGTTTCCACTGTGTACAAAATCATGGAAATTTTCAGTTTGATAACGTCACAGCCATTGCCCATTGTGTTCTGTTGGGTGAGAGCAAAAGGAAAATAGGAAGGGGACCAGGGAGGGAAAGGAGGAACAACTACACTTGCTAACAAATGCCCCTTTGGGGGGGTCAGTTGCTTGTTAGAGTGGTGGCAGACCCACTTGGATGAAACTGAATACGTTGACCCATTTCATTTTAGTAAAAAACATGGATCAAAAATCCAAAGGTACATTACAGGATCTGTCTCACAGGTTGAAGGTTGAAAAGAAGGTTAAATGTCTGGGGGTTTGGTTGATGAATAAAAATGCAATGTTATTTCAAAATGACTGTGAAAATATGAAATGTGGTTATAGTAGACTTACAGAGATGGAGAAGAATGAACTTATACCTGATGAGTAGAATCTCGGTAGTGAAAATGAATGTACTACTAAAAATGCTGTTTCTCTTTCAGACTGTGCTGCTGATCAATTCGGTTACCTGTTTTAAACAATGGCAAAGAGACATAACGGTGGAATGGCAACTTGCATTAGGATAGATTTTCTTCACTCCTGCAGGTGCAAGGTATCATCCGATTATTAATTTATAAACTCTTTAATAAGATAATTTTTATCAGTTTTTGTAATTCTGCTTTCCTGGTTTTTATAACTCTGTTTTTATGATGCAGTTTTATTCTATTTTTATGTTGCTTGTCTGCATACTTCTTAGAGGTTTCTAAATATTAAGTAGGTTGGAAAGGTTTTCAAATGAACAAAATAAATAAATTGTCCTCACCTTGCTGAAACTCTACAGTTCTCTTCATTGCTTTCTTTTTTACACCCCAACCAAGGAAGAAAAACTTAACTTTATTTTCATGCAGAATTATTCCTGCAGCTTGAGAGAGGCCTAAAACATGACTCAGCATTCCCAGAAGTCTGCACTTCCTTCCTCTCCCCCAGATTTCTACTGGGCTTTTACTTAAAGGGACAGTAACATATCAACTAACAATGATAACAAAGCTTTGAGCAGACAATAAATTTACAAAAGATTAAAGTAGGCTTAGATTACATTCTGCAGGTGGTGTCTGGAAAACCTAGTAAGGTAAAGGTAAAGGTACCCCTGCCCGTACGGGCCAGTCTTGCCAGACTCTAGGGTTGTGCGCTCATCTCACTCAAGAGGCCGGGGGCCAGCGCTGTCCGGAGACACTTCCGGGTCACGTGGCCAGCGTGACGAAGCTGCTCTGGCGAGCCAGCGCAGCACACGGAATGCCGTTTACCTTCCCGCTAGTAAGCGGTCCCTATTTATCTACTTGCACCCGGGGGTGCTTTCGAACTGCTAGGTTGGCAGGCGCTGGGACCGAGCAACGGGAGCGCACCCTGCCGCGGGGATTCGAACCGCCGACCTTTCGATTGGCAAGTCCTAGGCGCTGAGGCTTTTACCCACAGCGCCACCCACGTCCCTTCTTGGAAAACCTAGTAGTTCTCAGATATTCTTGGAAGGCAAACAAAGGGTGAGTGGGATATCTCAACCATGGACCTGGTTTTTTTTACTGGAAAAAAAGCATCTTCCTTCATATCCACTGAACTTCCATTCCTTTATGACATCATAGGTCATTAGCAGCCAATAGTAACAGCTGGTGGGTGTCATCACCATTTAGGCCTCATTTTATATCTATATATCAATCTATAGCTACATCTATATGTGTGTCAATGTTTTGGGGGGAGGTTTTCTGAAAAAACAACTTTGCAGATGATAGGAACTTTACTTTTTTGAAATATGGCACCCTAGTTTTATTTATTGCATTTACGCCCCACTTTTTATCCAAGGAGCTTCAGGGGCCACACACGTCGTTTCCCTTTCCTCATTTAATCCCCACAACAACCCTGTAAAGTAGGTTAGGCACAACCGTTTCTTAGATTTCTAAATGTGTCCCAAGGCCCAAAAGGTTTGGGACTCCCAGGCTAGAGAGTTCAAATCCCCACTCAGCCTTACTAGGTGACCTTGGGGTTGTCTGTCTTTCAAACCAACCTACCTCACAGGGTTGTTGTGAGGATTAAAGGAGGCCAGAGGAGAAATGTAATAATATAAAGTCATCTCCATTGGTCATGTAGGACAAATGCTGTCCTAGGAACACTGCAAGCCCTCCTGGATCTGATTTGCTCAGGCCGCCACTGCTAAAGGGGCATCTTTCCCCCTACGAACCTACAATGTTGTTGTTGTTGTTTCGGTCGCAGGAAAAAACAGAGGCCAACCAGAGAATATTGAGAAGCAAAGCAGCTTGTAAGCCTGATCTTTATTGAACTGTTGCAACAGGGTGCCCCCTTCACATACAGGAGAAGGAAGAGGACCCAGAACCAAGGTGTGTCCACCCTTATATAGACCTTTTAAATTGCCCACCTTGGAGTCCAAGACCACCCCCAGAAACATCATACCTACATCACAGAAAAGCGGGCTAAAGCAGAAATCTGAGTGGGTTGTTTACCTCATAATCTGAGTGGGTGGTTTACCTCCTGTCTGGCAAGTTACCTGTTAATGTTTACTGGATTGATACCCTGGGGAGCCTGGCCAGTCTTTTGTAATGATAAGTACCGGTACTTAGTTCCTGAGCCAAGTCACAGGCTCACCCTATTCATACACAGACATACCCTTAAGACAGGATTTGTGAAGGAGAAGACAATGGGGAGGCTCCTTCATTTGACCTTGCAGAGGAAACACCTGCTCAGCCTGGGAGTCAAAATGGCTCCATGGCTGCTCTCCTGTGCAGCTTCAGACATGTGGCCTATATATATCTATGTACGTGTTTGCTTGGTACATTTATGAACTTTTATTATATACATAAGACCTTAATTTATTTATTTCACTTGAAAAACCTTCTTTTCTTATTTAAAGGACAGCATATACTTTAGTAAATCTCCAGAGATCTATCTCCTGTGTCCCAATGGAGTTCCTGTAAATTGTGGCAGTAAGAATTGCAGCAAGGTTGAAACAGGAAAACGGTAACGTAGAAGAATCTCCCCATTTTAATTCATCCCTGAATCCATTTTGTGCAGTTAGAGCTTTGCAGTTTGAAATCTGTGCATGAGCTTTCCTACCAAAACAAACAAGCTGTTTTGAAGTGGGTGTGCAAGCCTGTGTTCTCTTGCAGTTCCTAGTACAACGGAAAGGAATGGGATGTATGGAGAACGAAACACTAGGAGAGCGGCCAAGCATAGTAATGACACTAAGGACTCAGCTACATTAGTAAAGAAAAAGCAATTTGAACATGCAACACCAGATGGCACCAGAGAGCAGGAAATTTTAAAAGCGGTTTTCAATGGAGATTTTTTCTTTCATTTTAACGATCTAATTTCTGACTTAGTCATAGTGTATGTTTTTCCTGTGTCTAGATCAGTGTTTCCCAACCGGTGTTCCGCGGCACACTAGTGTGCCGCGAGACGTTGCCTGGTGTGCCGCGGGAAAAATTGGCGGGGGGGGGAATAAAGGGGGAAAAAATTTATTCCCCCACCGCCAGGCGTGGGGCTGGGGCGGGGGAAGCCCGAGCTTCCCCCTCCCCCAGAACGGGACCCAGAGCCATGCCGAAGCTGCGCGCAGCTTTGGCATCGCTCTGGAAGCTTGCGGGGCTGGGGGAGGAGGAAGCCCTCCGCCAGCCTCCAAACCATGTCGGGAGACAGCGGGATGGCGCGCTGCGCCTCTCCCGCTGTCCCCCGAGTTTGCAGGGCTGGCGATGGGGAGGAGCAGGCTTCTCCCCCCGCCAGCCTTCCAGCCAAGTCGGGGGGCAGCGGGAAGGGCGAGCTGCGCCTCTCCCGCTGTCCCCCGAGTTTGCGGGGCTGGCGATGGGGAGGAGCAGGCTTCTCCCCCCGCCAGCCTTCCAGCCAAGTCGGGGGGCAGCGGGAAGGGCGAGCTGCGCCTCTCCCGCTGTCCCCCGAGTTTGCGGGGCTGGCGATGGGGAGGAGCAGGCTTCTCCCCCCACCAGCCTTCCAGCCAAGTCGGGGGACAGCGGGATGGCACGCTGCGCCTCTCCCGCTGTCCCCCGAGTTTGCGGGGCTGGCGACGGGAAGGAGCAGGCTTCTCCCCCCGCCAGCCTTCCAGCCAAGTCGGGGGACAGCGGGATGGCGCGCTGCGCCTCTCCCGCTGTCCCCCGAGTTTGCGGGGCTGGCGACGGGGAGGAGCAGGCTTCTCCCCCTGCCAGCCTTCCAGCCAAGTCGGGGGACAGCGGGATGGCGCGCTGCGCCTCTCCCGCTGTCCCCCGAGTTTGCGGGGCTGGCGATGGGGAGGAGCAGGCTTCTCCCCCCGCCAGCCTTCCAGCCAAGTCGGGGCGCAGCGGCAAGGGCGCGCTGCGTTTCTCCGCTGTCCCGGACGGCTTTCAAAAGCCTGCCTTCAAAAGCCGTCCGGGACAGCGGAGAAACGCGCTGCCTTTCTCCGCTCTCCCGGGAAGGCAGGCAGGGGGGAGCAAAGGCTTTCGCCCCCGCCCGCCTTCAGAAGAGGTCAAGGACCTTCTAAAGCCATCCGGGACAGCGGTGAAACGCGCTGCCTTTCTCCGCTCTCCCGGGAAGGCAGGCAGGGGGGAGCAAAGACTTTCGCCCCCGCCCACCTTCAGAAGAGGTCCAGGACCTCTTCTGAAGGCGGGCGGGGGGCGAAAATCTTTGTCCCCCCTGCCTGCCTTCCCAAGGGCTTTTAAATCGCCCCGGACAGCGGAGAAGTCCTCCGCTGTCCCGGGCAATTTTAAAATGCCGCCCGCCAGCATTTTAAGATTGCCCCGGACAGCGGAGAAGTCCTCCGCTGTCCCGGGGTTTTTTAAAATGCTGGGGGTGGGAAGAAAAGCCCTTGTTCCCCCCCCCAGCCTTCAGAAGAGGTCGGGGGACAGACTGTCCCCGGACCTGGTCTGAAGGCGGTTTCCCTAGGAACGCATTAATTGATTTTCAATGCATTCCTATGGGAAACCGTGCATCGCAAGACGAAAAACTCGCAAGACGAAGATGTTATGTAGTGTAGTTTCACCCTGGGCCAACAGGGGGATACTGTATATAGTTTTCACTCAGGTCTGTAGATAGTTTTCACTCAGGTCCGCGGCAGTTATTTTAGGCGGGAACTCTGGGCTGTTGTGGTTACAATGTTGACAGCCGGCTGCCTATAAATACAGGCCGGCTGAGCTGTTCGCAGTCAGTTGTATTCCAGCTTACCATAATAAAGAGCTACTTGAAGAAATCGCTGTGCCGGCTGCTATGTCAACCCACGACTTAACACTGGCGACGAAGGTGGGATGGATGGACATCAGAGCACAGCCAGATGCGGCCAGCCTCTGAACTGAGCTGAATCACTGAGCTGAATCACAGAGCGAAATCACTGAGCGAAATCACTGGGCAGAACCAATTCAGAGCTGACTGTTCTGGCTAGAGCACTGTGTTCCATCCATCGCCCTTCACGCCGGCATCGGAATCATGGCTTCACTTGTGCCTCTACCGCCGTTTGCGCCAGCCTCTGAATCGTGGGACTCCTACCTCGCTCGGTTCGACTGCTACCTCCAAGCCAACGAGCTGACAGCAGTATCAAAGGATCGGAAGCGGGGCCTATTCCTCAGCCTCTGTGGGCCTGAGGTGTTTGAGACGGCCCGAGCGTTGGTTGCACCTGAAGCAGTCCAGGCAACACCATGGGACACGATCCAAGAGAAGCTCCGCAACCACTACGCACCAAAGCCGTCCAAGATTGCTGCCCGCCATGCGTTCTACCACCGGAACCAGGCAGAGGGGGAGTCAATCAACAACTACACCACCGCCCTGCGACAGGCTGCAATGCACTGTGAGTTCCGAGACTTAGACGATGCCCTGATGGATCGAATCGTCTGCGGGGTCCGGGACATCCATCTGCAACGGCGCCTCCTAGCCAAGCCAGACCTCACGCTACAGAAAGCCATTGAGGAGGCTGTGGCCTCAGA